ACTCAGCAGCAGCAGCATATCTTGCTCAGTGGAAATGTTTTATAGTAGGAGAAAATTCAGAATTTAGGTATCACCTAAATCGTTTTTAATGTTGACTTGTTTTTGGCAACTATCTGAATATTCTAGGACATGCTTTGCATCTGGTTTGGGACAGATACATACACAGGTGTCCTCTTGTGAAATGGTTTTGTACCTACAATCATTTGTAGAATACACAAATTATTTCAGACTTTCGGGGGGAGATGATGTAGCATAGTGGGAAAAGCACAACAATGGACTAAGAAAGACATGAATTTGGATTCAAGCTCTACCACTTAATACTTGTGTGCATTTAGATTTGTCATTTATCTCCCGGAGTCCTAGTTGCTTCGTCTATAAAATGGGGATTAATAATACTTCTATTCAGTCTTATATTGAGGTTTAGTCAATATATATATAAAGAACCAAGCATACTCTGAGGAAATGATTATTTAACTGCTATATTTATCGCTTGAATAAAAAGTTGATTTTTGTAGGGATCTTGAATAATTGTCACATTGATGATGAAAGTATTCCTGCATGTCACCACAACCTACTCATGGACTGTTAGGAAACTATTGATTTGTGCCTATCTGTTACCACTTTGGATTTTATTTATTATCTGTATGGATGTGAATGGGGGTATGTGTATATATTAACAATCACCTATCTCTTATTTATCACTCAGCTATAGAAAAGAAGTTACTGCTTCTTTAGAGAGTACAAAAGCCTGGCCACGTGTTGGTCTATCGGTTTTCCTGTTTGTTTGGCTGGTGATGGGACTGTAAAAGGAACCTATTTTAGATCTTAGTATTTATAATTTGAGAATATTTGTGAATTCAAATACGTCTTTTTATATCAGTTCAAACATATCTTTTAAATCATTTATTCTCAATCATTTTCTTGTTTGGACCCAACATACTATTCCTACTCCCCTAGAATTACCTGAGTATATTACTATTTTTTGAGGGGAAAATTATATATGAATTGATGTAAACAAATAATTGTTTGGGTGCTTGTTATGTCAACCTTTCAACTGATATCAGAATAGATCTGAATATTTTAGAAATAGGGCATTTATAGGAAATAGCAAAGGTCAAACCAATTCTAGTCACAGGTGTGTGTACTAACTCTTAGGGAAGATTAATCTTTTTGGTCAGTTTATTAGAATTTCATGGACTTACAGCCAAGTCCTGTGGAGTATATGGATATTTAAATAAACTTTATCATTCCTGAACTCCAGACTTACACCAGTTCATTTGACATTTTCACTGGGATGTCACGGGGCAGCATAAACCTAACTGTTCCATTACATTAGAGGATTCCTTAACTAATCTTCCCAACAGCAGCAGATGGAATCATATCCACCCATTTGTTCATGCTAAAAACCTGAGTCAACATTCATTCCCCTAATTCACCTCAGGTGCACAAAGTCTACAGTGTACCTGACACTCTTGTCTCCAAAAATATCATGATGTTCATGTCTGTTTCCTATTTCTTATGATATAATCAATTATAAGACACTACATCCCTGCTTCCACTCACTCCCACCGGCAGTTCATTCTGTACTGCACAGCCAGAGTTATCTTTCTAAAACATGCAGCAAATCATGTAACTGCCCTTCATAATGCCTTCTGGTGGCTTCCCGTTTCCATTAAAAGTGAAAATCTTTTCCTGTGCCCTACTTCTCTAAACTTGTTTATCATGTTTACAGACCAAGAAACTTGCCTTTCTTTTTGTCCCCCCAAAAAGACAAATGGATTTTAACATCAAATCCTTGGCCTACAGGAACTGTCTTTCCACTCTTTGCTTGACTGATTCATCTAATCAATAAAGACTCAACTCAAAAATCACCTCCTCCCCACAGAGATAATGTCTATGACTATCGACTTAAAACATTTTCCCCACATATAAACATCACCATCTGTCACATAGACCTTGTTTACTTTTCTGAGTAAAACTTAGTAACAATGATATTAATTTGTTAATTTGTTAGTGAGAAACATGCTGAGGAAATGAGGAAGGTATGGCCTCGTTAAGGTGGAGACCTCAACAGAACGCACTAGTAGCTATCCCATAAATCACAGAACTCCTCAGGAAGCCCATAAAGCCCACGAAAAAGCAAACTGGCCACCCCCAATACACCTCAGCCTGTTTGTATAAGGACAAACGGGCATCTTGGTAGCTTTCAGCCAGTCTGTTTGCCTAAGGTGTAGGAAAACAAGACTTCTCAAACTCTCTAGACTACACATTGTCTGTGGTTTTGCTTTTATAAATACTGTCTTTGCATATGTAAAGAGAGACTATCTATATAAGATTGATCTCCCTCAGATACAAGTTATCAGCTACACTCTAACTAAACGTCTCGGAGCTATTCTTTGACACATTTCCCTGGTGGCTGCTGCTGCTAAGTCACGTCAGTCGTGTCCGACTCTGTGTGACCCCATAGACGGCAGCCCACCAGGCTCCCGTCCCCGGGATTCTCCAGGCAAGAANTTGGATTTTAAGCGTTCTTTATATACTCTGGCTATGAATTCTTTGTTGCATGTATGTATTGGTAATATCTTTTACTCTGTGTCATTTGCCTTAAAAAAAAAACACAAGTGACTTTTGGGAGAAGTTTTAAGCTCACAGCAAAATTGAGGGGAAACCAGAGATTTCCCGAATACTCCTGACCCCCACACCGTCGTAGTCTCTGCCATTATGAGTGCCAGCACCAGAATGGTACACTTGCCACACTGACTTACGGCATTGACACATCATAACTGCTCAATGTTAATAGTTTACATTATGGTTCACTCGGTGCTATAAACTCTACGGGTTTGGACAAATGTATAACGATGTGTTACTAACATTAAAATATCATACAGAGTATTTTTGATGCCCTAAGATTTTTCTGTACTGTACCTATTTATCCCTTTCCCACCTTCACCTCCTGCCAACCTCTGACCTTTCATAAACCAACTTTGTATCCTGCAACCAAGGTATATTCACTTATTAGTTCCAGGAGATTTATTTTTTTTTGTCAATTCGTTCAGATTTTCTATATACACAATTATGTCCTCTCTGAACAAGGACAGCTTTATTTCTTCCTTCCCAATCTTTTATTTCCTTTTGTTTCCTTTTGTTGGTTTATTGTGTTAGCTAGAACCTCAAGTATGATGTTAAAAACGTGGCAATAACATCCTTGCCTTGTACCTGATATTAGTGGGAAAGCTTCAAGTTTCTTATTAATAAGTATGATGTTAGCTGTAACTTTTTGTAGATATTCTTAAACAAGTTGGGAAAATTCCCCTCCATTCCTTTTTTATGAGAATTATTATTATAAATGGGTATTGCATTTTGTCAGCAGCTTTTCCTATGTATGTTGATATATGTAATTTTTCTTCTTTAGCCTCTTGATGTGATGGATTACAATAATTGATTTTCAAATGTTGAACCAGACTTGAATATATGGGATACAGTCTACTTGATGTATATATATTTTTGTATGTTATTGGATTCAGCTTGCTAACATTTTGTTGAAGAATTTAGCATCTGTTCATGAGGAATTGGTCTAGAATTCTTTTTTTGGTAATGCCTTTAGTTTTGGTGTTAGGGCAATGTTGACCTCTTCAGATGAATTAGGAAGTATTCCCTCTGACTCTATCCTCTGAGAGTGTAGAGAACTGGTATAACTACTTCATTAAATTTTTTGGTAGAATTCATGAGTGTACCAATCTCTGGTGCTTTCTGATTTGAGAAGTTATTAATTATTAACTCAATTTCTTTAATAGCTTTAGATCTTAAGCTGTCATTTTATAGTTTCTGTGGTTTCTTTTGATGAACAGAAAATTTTAACATTAATACTGTCTAAATTATCATTTAAAAATTATTGTTAGTAATTTTGGTGCTATTTAAGGAATTTTTAATGCTTCAATGTCACAACTATGCTTTCTTATGTTTTACTCTCTAAAACCCTATTGCTTTTTTTTGACATCTGGTTCAGCAAATAATAGGAAATGAGTTTTCATATAATAGAGTGAGATGGGGGTCAAAATATGTATTTTCTTAAATGAATATTCTTTTGACTTATTACCACTTATTAAGATTATTCTTTTCTTCATAACATTGCAACTGAGTTTTTGTCATAAATGANTTAAGATTATTCTTTTCTTCATAACATTGCAACTGAGTTTTTGTCATAAATGAAGTGATATGTGTGAATCTGTGTTTAATCTTTATTATCTTTCATTTGTAGGTTTTTAACGTTTTGGTCCAAATGCATCATCTGCTTAAATTACGATAGCTTTCTTATGGATATGGATATCTTTTATGTATGTCCATCAGCTTTGTGCATCTTCTTTGATCACCCCATTGTTATTCTAGGGCATTTCTAGGCCTGTTGTATTTTCACATAAAACAGAATTACAATGATAAGTTTTACAAAAAAAAAGTTCCCAAATTGGTAGAATTTTTCATTACCTTTACATTGAATTAATAGATTGTCAGTGAGAATGACATTTTTGTATATCCTCTTACTATATGAAAACACATTCTGTTCCACTAATTTATGCCCTTTTTGTTTCTCTCAGTGATGTTTTATAATTTCATTATAGAGATCTTACACACCTTTACTACATCTATTTGATATTTTATGCCATTTTCAGTGGAAATGGCAGCCCACTCCAGTGCTCTTGCCTGGGCGGTCCCGGGGACAGAGGGTCCTGGTGGGCCGCAGAGACGCGACCGGGCAGCCGCGGCAGGTAGCGCCTCACCTGTTTACAGATTCCGATGACTGTGGGTTTCTGAAACTTTCCAAGTATGTAATCGTATCATTTATGAATGATGACAGCTTTATGCTTTCTTCACCAATGTTTACACTGCCCCTTTGTGTTTCCCTCCCTCCCTCCTTCCCTTCCTTTCTTCCACCTTACTTTGTCACTGCCTAGGTCACAGTTGTGACCTGTTCCGTCACCAAGTGATGCCCAGCTGTTTGTGACCTCATAGACAGTAGCATGGCAGGCTCCTTGGCCCTTCATATCAGGGGGGCAAAGTGTTGGAGCTTCAGCAACAATCCTTCCAATGACCAGTCCATAGAGTACATTGATGATAATAGGCGTCACTAATAGCATGAGAAAAATGTAATATTTTCTATAAGGTTTTTATAGATACTTCCTATTCATTTTTCTAGTTTACTATGAATTTTTTCTATCAAAAGGCGTTTCAGATTTTTTATGCATTTATGTAGTTGATCATATGATTTTCTTTTTTTCCAATAATTTCGTGGTGAATTTCCTTGATTTTTGAATGATGTATTTCTAACCATAATCCCTACTAATATATTATCCATTTATTAATTATGGGTCCAATTTTTGAATTTTTGTTAATTTTGAAGTCTTTTACAGATGTATATCTTCGAGGCGTGAATCTTTAAATATTCTTTCTTGTAATGTCCTTTGAGGTTTTGGCATTAAGGTATATTCACTTTATAAGAAGAGTTAGGAAGTATTCTCTTTATTCTGTTCTCTGGAAGGGTGTGTGTGAGATTGGTATTGTTTCTTTCTTTAATATTTTTAAGGTATCACTAGTGATATTGTGTGAGCCTTTTTCTGGTAGGAACATTTTTAATAGTTATTGTTTAATGCATTTAAGGTTATTATTTTTATCCTGTCATTTTTAATAACATATTTTCAAATTAATGGTTATTTTAATATTGTTTTTCAAGATGTGCTTTTATTATCTTTATCAAAACTTTAGGATCAATAGAGTTGCTTCTCTTTTAATTCTTAACATTTGTAAATTTTGTTTTTCTAGTCTTATGCTTTGCTCCATTTTTTATGAGATACCAATTTTATTAAATTTTTAATAACCAACTTTTGGCTTTGCTAATTTTCTCTATTGACACCTGTTTTCTATTAATTGATATCCTTAGTATTTCTTTTTTTCTAACTTTCATAAGCTTGATCTTTCTCTTGTATTTCTAATTTTTTTAGTTAAAAGTTAATAGTATTGCATTTTCTGCTTTTTAAAACATTGACATATAAGCCAATAAATTTCCTTCTAAGCATGGTTTAGTCTCATATCAACATAGTTTTGGCACATGAAGGAAAAGTTACTCAGTCATGTCCGACTCTTTGCAAACCCATGGACTATCATCCATGGAATTCTTCAAGCCAGAACACTGGAGTGGGTAGCCATCCCTATCTCCAGGCTATCTTCCCAAACCAGGTATCGGACCGAGGTCTCCTGCATTGCAGGCAGATTCTTTACCAGCTGAGCTACCAGGGAAGCCCAAGAATACTGGAGTGGGTAGCCTGTCCTTTCTCCAGGGATCTTCGTGACCCAGGAATTGAACCAGAGTCTCCTGCATTGCAGGTGGATTCTTTACCAGCTGAGCTACCAGGGAAGCAGTATAGTTTGCTTTTTGTATACTTTGCAAATCAAAATATTTTCTAATTTTTATTTAGAATATTTTCACTTATGAATTTCTTATATGCTGATTTTTCATTTCTGTGTTTTCTTAAGGTTATATATATATGTTATTATTTTTTCTTAACATAATCCATTATTCAACTTTTGAATGCCAAGGATTTTTTATGTTTGTATCTTCCTGCTTCATTGACTTGTTAGGTTATTATTAGGAATTTTCTCACTTAATTTCCAATAAGTAAGGTTGATATCTGACCTTAAAATCTACTTTGATATTAAAATAAATACATTTTAGATATAAATTTGTTATGATAGTTATATCTTTAGGTGTATGTGGTCTTTTGTTTTCTTTCATCCCTTTAATTATAAACTGTGTGTGTCACTGTACTTAATGTCTATCTTATAGTGATTTTCAGGTTCTTTTATTTTAATGCTCAATCTGACAACCTCAGTCTTCACTTAGAGGGTTTACTAATGTACTATCCTATTCTATCTGATTATCCTTTATATGGTTAATTTTTAATTCATCTTCTTTTGGGTTAATGAATATATATATAATCATTTTATTTTTACCTTCTGTGACATTTTCAATTATATGTTACCTTTCTGTTCTTTATGTGGTTACCCTAGGTTTCAACATGTGTCCTTGTCTAAGATGCACGTGAAACGAATGCTTTTACTATTTCCTAATACCGCTTGAGTACAAGAACCTTTTAACATACTTCTCTTCCTATCTTTTGTGTTATTGTTGCATGTATGATTATTGTCATACGTGCTCAGTTGTGTCTGACTCTGTGACCCCATGGCTTATAGCCCACCGGACTCCTCTGTCCATGGGATTTTCCGGGGAAGATTACTGGATTGGCTTGCCATTTCCTACTCCAGGCGATCTTCCTGAGCCAGGGATCGGACTAACATCTCCGGTGTCCCCTGCATTGGCAGGCAGATTCTTCACCACTGAGCTATGATTTTACATAGACTTAAACCCCACAATACATTGTACTCATTTTTTGGATAGTATATTTTTGTATATATTTACCCTTTCTGATGAGTTTTAACATTTCCTCTTCTATCTCCGCATTTCTAACTGAAAATATATTCTGTTGATCTGAACAACTTTCCAATCTTTTGGGCAACAAATATCCTCAGTTTTGTTTCTCTATAATGTCTTTATCTTGCCTGCATTTTGAATTGCATTTTCACTGAGAATAGATTGATTTTTTTTCCTTTTGCTCTTTAAAATACATTTAGTTGTTTTCCGACTTACATAATTTCTTACAAGAAGTGAGCCATCTGTTTTATTTTTGTCATTCAAGGTGGTGATTCTCTTCTCTCTGCTTTTACATTTTTTCCATTGTTTTAGAATGGTATGATGGTTAGCCTATTTATGGTTTGCATGTGTTTATCTGATTTAGGGGCTTTATATATCTTGAATCTGTTAGTTGATAACTTCCATTAATTGGCCACTACTCTGCTTCTGCTTAATTTTTGTCTTTCCTCTTGCTCTGGAGAGAAGTTAGAGACATTAATATTAGGTATTTGTGATGTGTCTTGTATATCTCATAGTTCAATCACTCAGTTGTGTCCAACTCTTTGCAACTCCATAGACTGCAGGATGCAGGCTTCCCTGTCCTTCACCAACTCTGGAGCTTGCTTAAACTCTTGTCCATCAAGTTGGTGATGCTATCCAACCATCTCATACTCTGTCGTCCCCTTCTTCTGCTTTCAGTCTTTTTTTTTTTAAGAAGTTTTTTTTTTTTTTTTTTTAATGAAGTCCAACTTACTAATTCTTTCATGGATCAAGCCTTTGGTGTTGTACCTAAAAAGTCCTCAGCCAAGCCAAAGTCATCTTGATTTTCTCCTATGTTATCTTCCAGGAATTGCAAGTTTCTTTTTTTTTAATTTGCAACTAGGTTTCTGATTCATTTTGTGTTAATTTTGGGGAATAGTGTAATATCTGAGTATTTATTATATTTTTTTAACATGTGAATGTCCACTTGTTGCAATATCGTATATTGAAAAAATTATCCTTTCTCCATTGAATTGCCTTTATTCTTTGTCAATGACCAGTGGACCCTCTTTGTGTGAGTTTATTTCTGGGTTCTCTATTTTGTTCCATTGATCTGTGTATCTATGATTTTGCCAATACCACACTCTCTTGATTGCTGCAGCTGTACAGTAATTCTTAATGTTTGTTAGTGTCAGTCCNTTTGGCATTGCCTTTCTTTGGGATTGGAATGAAAACTGACCTCTTCCAGTCCTGTGTCCACTGCTGAGTTTTCCAAATTTGCTGGCATATTGAGTGCAGCACTTTCACAGCATCATCTTTTAGGATTTTGAATAGCTCAACTGGAATTCCATCACCTCCACTAGCTTTATTCATAGTGATGCCTCCTAAGTCCCACTTGACTTCACATTCCAGAATGTTTGGCTCTAGGTGAGTGATCACACCATTGTGGTTATCTGTGTCATGAAGATCTTTTTTGTATAGTTCTTCTGTGTATTCTTGCTACCTCTTCTTAATATCTTCTATTTCTGTTAGGTCCATACCATTTCTGTTTTTTTTTGTGTGTGTGTGTGTGTGCCCATCTTTGTATGAAACATTCCCTTGCTATCTCTAATTTTCTTGAAGAGATCTCTAGTCTTCCCCATTCTATTGTTTTCCTCTATTTCTTTGCATGGATCACTGAGGAGAGCTGCTTATCTCTCCTTGCGGTTCTTTGGAACTCTGCATTCAGATGGATATATGTTTCCTTCTCCTTTGCCCTTTGCTTCTGTTCTTTTCTCAGCTATTTGTAAGGCCTCCTCAGACAACTGTTTTGCCTTTTTGCATTTCTTTTTCTTGGGGATGGTTTTGATCACAGCCTCCTGTACAATGTCACAGACTCCTGTCCATAGTTCTTCAGGCACTCTATCAGATCTAATCCCTTGAATCTATTTGTCACTTCCAATGTATAATCATAAGGGATTTGACTTAGGTCATACCTGAATGGTCTAGTGGTTTTCCCTACTTTCTTCAATTTAGGTCTAATTTGGCATTAAGGAGTTCATCATTGAGCCACAGTCAGCTCCCGGTCTTGATTTTGCTGACTGTATAGAGCTCCTCCATCTTTGGCTACAAATAATATAACCAATCTCATTTTGGTTTTGACCATCTGGTGATGTCATCCTTATATTAAGTAGGCTGAGGAGAAGGAAGAGGACGGGTTGGCCTTGCTGTCTTTGTGGCAGAGATGGAGGAGTTCAAGGAGTAGATCGGCAAGCAGAGGGGGAAGCAAGGCGCACTCGGTGTAACTTTATGGAAATACATCATAATTTCTGCCTGGCTTTTTGCCTTTACATTTTTATAAAAATATTTTTATATGTACCAATCTTTCTTTCCTATTTGCCTTAGTTTCAGTCCTCATATAATTCAGAAGGGTGCATGTCATAAGAGAAGTCAGAAGCATTCTTGAATAACTGGAATCTTTCTGCCAGGTTGTCTAATGTCAGTTTGTTTTCTGGCATAGCTTCTCCAATGTCTTCGTCATCATCATCTGGTCCTGGTTTAGAAGCACTCATCTCCATCAAGTCACCTTCTGTTAATTCCTCTGGTATGATGTCTGTTAGCTCTTGAATTTCTCCAAGATGCATATCTTGAAACCCTTCATCTTGTACCTTTTTTACTGTATCCACAATCTCTTTCATGATTTCCTTGGTTGGCACTGTTGTAAATCCTGTGAAGTCATGCGTAACATCTGGATGCAGTTTTATCCAGCAGAAATTTATTGTTTCAAGCTTGATGGCTTTCATCACTTTTTCTAAAACAAGGACACATCTTCAGTAGTATAATCTTTCCATACTTTCATGATGTTCTCTGTATTGAGGTTCTCTTCCTTTGTATGCCAATCCTTTCCATAGGGTACCATTTGTAATGAGCCTATGTAATGTAATGGGTCTTATGATCCCCTAATCTAGAGGCTGAATTAGAGACCTTGTGTTTGGAGGTATGCAGACCACTTTGATGTTTTCATTGTTGAACCCATAAAATTCTGGGTTGCCAGGGGCATTGTCCAAAATCAAAAGAACTTTAAAATGCAGTCATGGGACTTCCCTGGTGGTCCAGTGGCTAAGACTCCCCATACCCAATACAGGAGGCCTGGATTTGATCCTTGGTCAGGGAACTAATTCCCACATGCTGCAACTAAGAGTTAGCATGCCAAAGCTAAAATGCAGTCACTTACTGGCAGGGTACTTTCTGATTTCAGGAACTAATCATTAATGGAACTAATGAAGGAAAGTGTTCTCCTGTCCAGACCTTCTTGTACAACCAAAGGACTGGAGCTGGTATTTATCTTTTCCTCTCAAGCCTCATGGCTTAGCAGATTTTAGGTAAGAGCAATTCATATCATAAATTCTACATTTGCCAAAAACAGAGTTAGCTGATCCCTTCCTGCCTTAATTTGTATGTGCTTTTCTTTGTAACTAATAAATGTTTGTGTGGAGTTGTTTTTCCAGAATGGGGCACTTTTCTCTGCACTAAAATCCTGTCTGGGCAGATATCCTTTCTCCTCAGCGATTTTCTTCATGGCATCTGGGAGCATGTCTGCAGTCACTTGGAAGAACCTGCTTCTCCTCTTATCTTGATATTTTTAAAGTTCAACCTCTTTCTAAAATTATCAAACCATCCTATGCTGACATTAAATTCTCCAGATTTAGATCTCTTACCTTCCTTTTGCTTGAAGTTGTCATATAATGACTTCCTTTTCCTTGAATCATATTAGTGTCTACAGGCATGCCTTTCTTATAGCAATCCTGCACCCACATAAAAGTTGCATTTTCAATAAGATGATAAAAAGGTGTTTTACAAAAAGTGTAAGGTTTTTGTGCCTGCTGGTATAGCTACAGTGATGGNTATATATATATATATATATATATATATATGTATATATATATATATATAAATTTTTTTTTTTAACATTTCTCTTGACTGTGAATGGAGTCATGTATGGTCTACACCTTGCTTGGGTATTAGGTTTTTGTCTTAAATAGCTGGATAAATGATCATGCAAATTACTGAAGTGATAAAGGAAAAACTATCTTGAGTGAATTTTTGGACATGTGTTTGTGGTGCATTCAAAATTCCATGAAATGTCAAGGAGGGAACTGAATATGTTTGAAACACAGTGGTGAAATGTATATTGAAGAAAACAGCTTGCTGAGGTATAGATCATAACTGAAGTCAGGGACATGGTTGAAAATGTCCAGGGAATGATAATAGAGGATGAAAGAAAAGAGCATTGAGGAATTCCATCATTTAAAGATGTCATAGAGAAAGATGATATAAGGAGACAAGAAAGCCACCATGGAGATGCAAAGGAAATTAGGAGATTATAGTGCCAGAGGAACTGAGTAGAGAGCGTTTCAAGCAGAAAAGAGAGGTCAGTAGTGGATGATGCTTCCAGGAGCTTAAATTAGATAAATAATGACCTATGGCCATTGGGTATAATTTGCAGTCTAAGGCAATAGATATTCAGGAGGAGAAGCAAGTCTTGTGGGAGTTGGGAAGTGGACTATATGCAAACCAAAGCAAAACTCTTAAAAAGTTTTATGAGAGAGAGTTTAGATTTGGTCCTGGAATAGTATGAGGGGTTTAATGAGTGATGTTTAAGTAGGGATCTTGACTAGAAGAAAACAAGCAGTGTGTATACCAAAGAAAGGATTTTTAATAAACTTAAGAGATAGACTCATCAATAATGTATATTTCCTTAGAAAAGGCAAATGAGGATGGATTAAAAAGAAGAAAGTGAAAGATTGCCTTTAGGACAAGAAACGTTTGGTCTTTAGTAACTAGAGAAAGAAATACTGGATGCATATATAACAGTAGTTCCCAATTTTGCCTGCAATATTAACATTTTCCCTCTGAAAAAATTTATAGAAAACAGGTAAAACGATAAAGTCTTAAACTACCAGACTAGTCTGAGTGTAGACGAGGGAATGAACTAATGAGATAGTAGGCAATAGAAGTAGAATCTGATGATTAGGTAGACTCATATTCATGACATTAAGTAGATAAAAAGTTCATTTTGATAGACCCTGTACTCTGACCTAGATGAGCACAAGTTTTCAAATAGATTCTGAAGTTGAAACTTCTTGGCATGAAATGGAAGGTTGTTTACAGAATATCCCCTCCCCAGTTTCCCTTTATTCCTCTTCATTCCTAGATTCTAAGTTCTAGTTATACAAACGTCTTTGCTGTCCCTTGCATGAGCTGTGCTTTCCCATGATTTAGTATCTTTTTTTAAAATCACCTCTGATTCCTTACCCTTAGTAATTCATTTTGTCTTAGGGCAAGTAACTGAGTCTTTCCATATCATTATTTGTAAAAGAATATAACTTGTTTCATAAAGATTTTTGAGGATTAAACAAGATACCATATGTAGAATATTTTTGCAAGAGATCTTAGCATGTAAGTGTTCAATAAGTAATAGATTCTAGCTCTGCTTTAAACATCCGACTTAAGTTTATCAGAGTTAATACGGCTCTTGACCTTAGAGCACTGTTAGCAAAATGCATATGCTCTACTACAGAGACTCATCACTGACTGGGCAGCATTCATTTCCAGCTCTGACAACTCAGTTTCCAGTTCAGTTCAGTTCAGTTCAGTTCAGTCGCTCAGTCGTGTCTGACTCTTTGTGACGCCATGAACCCCAGCACACCAGGCCTCCCTGTCCATCACCAGCTCCCAGAGTTTACCCAAACCCATGTCCATCGAGTCGGTGATGNAGTTCTTCCAATGAATACCCAGGACTGATCTCCTTTAGGATGGAATGGTTGGATCTCCTTGCAGTCCAAGGGACTCTCAAGAGTCTTCTCCAATGCCATAGTTCAAAAGCATCAATTCTTCGGCTTCCTAAATTTATCTCTTTCTCCTTCTTCTCTTCCTTTTTCTCCTAGTTTCACTTTTTCTTTCTCACTCTCTATCTCTATGGATCTGTCTATAAAGATGATATATAATGAATATTTATCTACAATTTTAAATTATTTATTTTTAATTTATTAAAAATTTAACATCCATGTTGTTTTGATGTTTCTGGAGGCATTTCTTTTCCCATTTAGAGGTAGGCCTTTGGCCTAGTATGTTGGAAATTAGATAGGAAAGGTCATAGCATTAGCATCCACTTAGAAAATTATGTTTGCTGCATGTAGTATGTCAAACTTTAAAACCAATTTCAGAAAAAGCCCTATCTTTTATACCTGGAAATTCTCACCTCCTTCTGTCTCAAACTTCCCATTCATCCCAGTCTAAATACTCTCTGAACAGCCCTTTATCTCTCTCCCCACAATGTTAGATACTTTTTACTTATTTTTTATAGATCCTATCACACTGTTTTATAACAATATCTACAATATGATCTTAGCGAAATATTTATAATAGTTATTAACAATTTATTCTCTTCTGTTAGACTAAACTCCTCCTAAGTTGATATCATGTCATACTTTTTTATCTCAACTCCTCACACAAAGCCTACATATGGTAGGCTTTAGTGTGTAAAATTGATAAGTAAATGAAAACTTTGGCAAAATAAGCAGCGTTTCAAGAGGAAAGTCCCTGCTCTAACCAGGAGCAGAGGCAGCCATGTCAATTCTTCATTCCTCCCTTCTTTGTCTACTCCTCAAATTATATCCCTACTTTTAGAAGAAAACTGTACCTTCCAAAGCAGTATATCTCATTCTTCATTAAAAGAACTGGCTCAGATTCTGTGAAAATTTCATTGCCCTATATAAATGTTTAAGAGACTCAGAAACAAAAAGATCCAGGCCTATGAAAAGTGTAATGAGTCCCAATTTGGCCATTTGTGATGGGGATTTAACTGCTTTGTTTGTGAGCTTCAGCTCAAGAAACATATTACCTTCATCATGTGCTAATACCCTAGAGTCGGTCTAAACTCTCCTCCACTCTGGAGAGGCATCCTGGCGATGCCAGCAAACATTTTAAAAGCTGAAATGTGTAAACTTGTCAGTTGGGGTACCAAAAAATTATTACTGGAGTCAAACTTACACTCAATCATCTTTTTTTTCTTACATAGGACTTAAAAGTAATCAATAAATCATCACGGATGCATTTCAAAGTTCAAATCTATTTCCATAAGTATTGAAATACTTGCATAGAAAATAATTCCTACTGCATATTTTAGAGTGTGGGGAATAGCAGAGATTTATTAAAAAGAATATCTTTAAAAGACATAACTCTTTAGATTAAATCATTATAATGTCATGAATGTCAAGACATTGTTTATTTAATGTTACTATGCCACCAAAATTTTCAGTGTTTCTTTGTGTTACACATAAATTGTCACATTGCTTGTTTCTGAAACTTATTTGCCTCTGATAAGTGGTATTATCTTATCACTACATGCTTTAAACATTAAGAGCTCTATTTAAATATTTGGTAAATATATTTCTTCCCTCCTTCCAACCATCAACACACAATATTAAGACAATATGAAGACAGTAGTTGGTATATTTTGAAAATTAAAGGAAATACATATGGAAAATATAAGCCAAGTGTCAATTGTGTAAGAAAACATGTAAAAACTTTCTTTAATGTTTATTCAACAAATGTTTCCTAAAAGATTTTCCTTGAAGCAAAGCAATTTAATTTTCCTTTCCTATTATTCTTGCTGGTTATAAACTTAATTAGCTTTGTTTATTTCACATTTATTTCCATTAATGGTAAATCTTATTTTTTTTTCATGGTAAATCTTATATCACATAAATTTTTGAATCACAATATGAACTAAAAATATGTGAGTTAGATTGGAGCAACAAGAACAATAACAAGTAATCATAACAAGGGGATGTTAATTGGAGTCTGAGTGGTTCTATTCATAGTAACAGCGGAGCATAACATCTCTGTGTCCTTTACTGTTCCATGACACTTTGCTAGATCCTTTATTATAACGCCAATTATATTGCACTTGAGATTCATAGGTATTTTAGCAGCATAATGGGACCAGGGATGGAATTTAAAAGTTTTTTTCCATCAGGGAAAGTGTTTATTTTGCCAAAGTGAACGTATTAGTTGCTCAGTCATGTCCAGCTCTCTGCAGTCCCGCGGCCTCTGGCCCTCCACACTCCCCTGTCCATGGAGTTCTCCAGGCAAGAACACTGGGGTGAGTAGATGTTACCTTCTCCAGGGGCTCTTCCGGCCCAGGGATTGCGCCCAGGTCTCCTGAATTGCAGGTGAGCTCTTGACTGTCTGAGCCACCAGGAAGTCCCAAGAATACTGGAGTGGGCAGCCATTCCCTTTGTGATTATTTTGCCAAAATTTTCTTAAACTTTAAAAGTCCAAATGAGAAAAATTTTAGGGTTTTCATTTATCCAAAATCCTGGTTAGGGTGTTTGTGCAGTTAGAGATTGATCAGTTTTTGTAACAAGAGGCATAGAAAATGCATACAAACTTTCTTTTTGTAGAAATTATTTTCAACAATTTTAATATAGGTAGTATCTTAGATACAGATGTTGAGAGAGAATCTTGCTTTGTTCCTTTGTGTGCCGATATAACTAGTGACTACTTCAGTTGTTTCAATTCATCCAAAAGTAAAACAGAGTTGGTCATTATCTAGTGATTTATATTTCTTTATGGCAAATTTAGAGAAGGAAATGGCAACCCACCCAGTATTCTTGCCTGGAAAATCCCACGGACAGAGGAGCCAGGCTACAGTCCATGAGGTCACAAAAAGTCAGACACAGCTGAACAACTGAGCACATAGCAAATTTAAACAATTTCAGTGTGAATGAAATGAAAACTTCTGTTGTCATAATTCTTCAGTTTGTCTATTTCATGTCCCTAGATAATGGATACTTATTTTAAAGTGTAATGATTTTATAAAGTCTACCTCAAATCTGTTAAGAATATGGAGAGAAACTCATTAGAAACAAGCTTAGTTAAGAAACTATCCAATAAACAATACAGATATTGTTTAGTGTCTAAAAATATTAACTGCAATTATAATTTGGGTTCTTCTGTTAATTTATTTACTTATAGCAAACCTGGATCAATATTGTTACCCTTAGATTTTATAGCAGCATCATGGAATTGGTGATAACAGTATAATATCAGCTATCATTTTTTGAATACTTTATGTCAGGATCTAGGATAAGTACTTTAAGTATATTACTACATTTCATCCTCCCTCAAACTCCTCCAAACTCCAAAGAAGCTTAAAAGTAAGTAATTTGTCAAAGATTTCATAGTTAATCTGTGTGGGAAATAGGACTTGAATAAAGACCAGTGTGTTGTTAGATATTATAGTCTTTAAAAAAATTTAAAGAGCTTTTAAAATTGAAGTTACTCTCAGTTTTTATAAACAAACATAAGTCATAAAACAGGGTCATGAATAAAGTAAAAATATTGAATCTCCCACTAACTATCTATACATGTAAACATATTTCTACTAAAATGGATCATGCAAACATTAATTTGTTTTTTTCTTCCACCTAAATTATTTTTATTAACTTTTTTTAAAATACATACAAGATTACCTTATTCTTTCTCTTGGCAACAAAATAAAATATTGCATTGATTTATCATGACTTATTTAACTAGTCCCCAGTTCATTGACACTTAGGTTTCTTTCATGTTCCCTTCCATAAACAATTGTGCATATGTGTACATACATAATGCCTATTTGAGTATACCTTCCAGAAATTTTTTAAAGTGGAAAAAGCTGGGTTAAGCATTTAAAATTTTGATAAACATGTCCAAATTGACCTCTGAAAAATTAACACACTTTCCAAAAGTTTTAAAAAATATCTATCTACCACACATTTTCCAATAATGTCTCTCTTTAATCTTGTCTTGACAAAAGAATAATTATTTGACATCTAATAATTTCCCAATATAACTAGTTAATTTTAGTTTGTCCATTTCCTTCTTATATATTTTACACCAGGTTATTTGTCTTTATAATTTTATTCAATTTTGATTAGCAGATGCTGTTTTTATTTGAGTATTGGTCCAAACATTTAACAAATTTTCCTCTCTCTTTGTATGTAGTATTTTATTTTTATTTATGAAAAAAATTTAGGTAGTCAGACTTGATGTTTTCTTTTATAGCTTCTGTAGTCTGTGATAAACTTAGATTAGCCTTATCTGGCCCTGAGATTATTAATAAGATGTGTCGTCCTTTCCTCTGGTGTACATTTATTGTTTTGTTTCAGGAAGGAGGACCCCTTCCAAGGCCTGAAAGGGTGCTGTTGTCTCACACTGGGAAACGAATTGTCTGAGGAGACACACATGCTGAAAAATCAAGAGACTTTCCTGGGAAAGGGCACCCGGGTGGAGAGGCGGAGGTTAAGGGCCAAAGGACTGCTCTGCCAGCTGGCTTGCAGAACTTTACGGCGATGTGATTAGTTTCTGGGTTGTCTCTGGCCGGTCATTCTGACTCAGCATCATTCCTGGTGATGCACACATCTCCCAGCCAAGGATTCTAGTGTGGAGGATTCTGGGAGGTGGGGGGACACGTGGCCCCTCCTTTGACCTTTCCCGGATGTTTCCAGTTGGTGGTGGCTTGTTAGTTCCGTGTTTCTTACCAAGACCTCTTGCTGTGAAATAGCTCATGCAAATGATTACTGTGGTACCTGGCCAGGGTGGGTGGTTTCAGCCCTTGTTTCCCCCAATAGTTTCATTGTTCACACAAGTATTTATTCATGTGGAGTTTTGTAAGTCATAAGCAATATTTAGTTTCACTGTTATATTTTTAAAAAGACAAATCATTTGCCTCAGCAGTACATACATATTCAATAGTTCATCTAGCCACATGGGTTTTAAATGTCACTTTTACCGTTTTCAAAATTCCTGTACAAATTTTGAATTATTTCTATTCTTTATTATAGGCTTCATTGATCTAAGTATTCTGGGCAGAGACAACTTTAAAAATATTTAACAGCATTTTGATAAAGCACTGGCTGTTCCAGACTGGGCACTGACCACTCAAAGGAGATGCCAGCTACCTCCAACTGCTACAGGAACTTGGATGCATCCCGCTGATTGATTTGCTTAGTGAACAATATACTGTATTTGAGAAGAACTAGCTCCAAACACAACACAAAATAAACATTAATATATCATTTGCTAAAATGCAAAAGATAATAGTATGTGTGTTATCTTTAATAATACTAGTGTGGGCTAATAATAAAAGAACAAATAACGTAGGGCCGTGGTTCTCGGTGACAGTGGGAAGAAGCTCACTTCTGGCCCTGTTTCCTCCCTGTCTGCCTTCCCTCAGGGAAGCAACTCGAAGACAACCTGGAGCACAATCTGCATTTTAAAGTGCACATTCAAGTCACCCAGCTGTGTGTGTTAACAGGCCATTGACACTGAGATCATTCACAGACTGGAAGCACAGTAGACTTGGCTTTGATATCAGTACAGATAAGGCCGTGCTCCGTTATTCAGAGTTGATAGATTTGGTATACTTCCATCAAGCAAATCAGCCAGTTAAAATCTCCATATTCAAAATTTAAGATGTGTTGTGTTACTTTTGCAAATTATCTTTGCATTGATTTTGGTATCTGTCTTGGTCTGTGTGTGTATTGGAAAAGAATTTCCAGACATGAGGCCGAGTGAGAGAATAGAGTTTATTAGAGTGGGCTATGCTGTTAGAACAGCAGGCCAGCCCAAGGGCGAGCCCAGGGCTAGTCACCAATTTTTATAGCCTCAAGACAGAGGAGATTCCTGCTGGAAGGGTAGCATTAGGTGACTGGTAAAATGCTATAGGGTGGGTAACAGGGTATTTTACCTAATGTGGAGTTGAGGGACTGGCTCATTTAGATCCGGAGGCTCATGGCAACGGTTGTTATGGGGCTTGGTTAATTCCGGTGATTTTTTTCCTGTGACCTTGGTATAGGGCTCCACAGTACTGATTTCTGAAGAATTCAGATACCATTAAGAGTAGTACAAGATTTCTACTTTTACTCAAAGGAAACCTGAATTTTAAATGTGAGAAATTCTGATTTGAATATATGTTTCTTCCTCATTGAGGAGCAAGAGTAACTTCTTAGCTAAAAGTCCATATGGGCGGTGGAGGGAAATCTGCAGTCCCTTCATCTGCTGCTGGGCCTTTTGTCCAATCACCAGGTTCTGTCTGAGTCCATCTTGTACTCTACCTCTGAAGAAGCACTGAGTTTTCAACAGGTCAGGGGCAAAAATGAAGCTGTGTTTTCAGGGATGCAGGTCTGGCAGAGAAGTAGAAATAAACCTACCTTTAGGCATATATGTCTGTTGACTTAGAAAAAAGAAAAGCACAATGCCAGAGCTGCAAGTTAAGCTTCGTTTGGGGAAAATGAGGACCTCAGCCAGGGACGCAGCACTGCAGATAGCACTGAGAAACTTCTCCAAGGAGGCAGGGGAGAGGACGGCATACACGTGATTTTGGTAAAGGGGGAGTACACGAAATCAAGCACATATTTTTTGTAGAAGTTTTCTCTAGTCATGAGGCACAGTCATTACCATGAAGGATTTTAATGCTTTTTCTAGGTATGCAGAAATATAAGAATCGGGCTTATAAAATCAGCTCCTGAAAATATCTCGCTATCTGAGACCCGTTCTGCCAGTTTTTCCCGCAGCACAGAGTGCATCATGTCAGCTCTCCGCCCTGAGCTCCTCATCCAATGCCAGTTTAAAGTGGATTCAGTGTGGCTTGGGAATGGATCACTTACCCTAATTATTTTTGAAATTTTTAGAGTGCGGTAGACTAAAATTATGACTTTTTCTTTTAAGGTATTTCTAAATTTGATGAACATGGTTTCATAGTTTTGGGCAAAAGCTTTGAGTGTTAGCTCTTGCTCTATAAAATGTCTGTTCTCTATTAATCTGGAAATTGCTGGTCTCTTCTCGCTAAAGCCTCAGACTCTGTTCTTTCTCATTTATACATTTTGTTCTATCTGTTTGCTTCAATGACTGGAATAATTTGACAGCTTATATGTTATATCACAGTTAGATGTCTAAATGCAGATTAGATTCTGGTCATTATTTAACTTTATATGGGAAATGAAAAATGGAAAGAAAAGGTATACTTTTGCTGCTGTAGCAGTTGACAAGCAAGATAGTGGAGTTATGAATACTTAGGTATGAAGACAGGGTCCTGATTTTGCATTCAGTATCTAATGTTCAATTTGGTATGGATGAAAGGTAGTATCTTTAGTAGTAACAGTAGCCTCCTGCCTGCTAAAATACCATGGAGACATTGAGATTTCTGATTCTCTAGCTCTTCCAATAAATTTATAAGCACTTACTTCTCTAAACCTAATAACTTTCTGCTTGAAATACCTACAGTGGTTTTTATTTTCTGCCTTCTTTTGCAAATGACATATGGGAGTATTGATTTTGACTTTTTGGAAGGGAAGTTGAGATATTAAAAATAATCAACTGTATATAAATAGAAGATTTGGAAAAACAAACTACCACACTATGAAGTTATTCACAGGTTTATATTTCCTGAGTTGATCTTCCCTGGTATTTCTATAAACATATGCAAGGTTTCTATATAATGTAAAAATCTGAAAAGATTGTATATATCTGGGAATACTAGAACTATGTAATAATATAATAAAACAATAAATGATTTTACTTTCTATGCAGAATTCTGAATGACTTATTGAGATATAGTGTTAGTTATAAGTATTATTACTGAAATGCAATCAAATAAGTCACCCTACCTATTATTCTGAAATTAATTTGTCCATTCAACGTAGTCAATCTGGAAAACAGATTAAGCCAAAGTATCACTTGTTTTTGGCAAGGGGTAATGTGAGGAATAGTTTTGTGATACTGAAAGTGTACTTCACTCAAGCTTCATTTTCCTCTTTAAAATATCAAGCACAATGCCAGGTCCATAGAAGTCCCTGCAAATAATCCTCTTGACACTTGGATTTCTAGACTATAAATAACAGCAAATCTTGAGAGAAAGGAATGTTTTACTTAACCCACATCCTCCAGTATTTGAAATGGTCTGTCAATAAGCATGCTGAATAAAGACTCTCCAAGGATACCTACTCCCTAATCCCTGGAATTTATGACTGTTACCTTATATGGCAAAAGGATTTGCAAATATGATTAAGGATCTTGAAATGGGAAATTATTATTGTATTAGTTTGCTAAGGCTAATGTAACAAAGTACCACAAACTGGGTGTCTTAAAAACAGATGTTCATTGTCTCAGAGTCCTGAGGTCTGACAGTTGGAGATTAAGGTGTTGGCAAAATTGGTTCCTTCTGTGGGCTGGGAGGCAGAATCTGCTCCAAGTTTCTCCCCCTCGCTTCTGGTGGTTTGCAGGCAATCAGGTGTCCCATGACTTGAAGAAGCAACACCCCAATCATCTCCTTGATTTTCATACCGTGTTCTCCCTGTGCTCAGGATGTTTTGTCTCTGTGTCCAAAGTTCCTCTTTTTATAATATGTCATCAATCATGTTGCATTAGGGCCTACCTTAATGATCTCACCTTAATGATTCAGTGGCCTGATTTCTAAATAAAGTCATGTTCTAAGGTATGAGGGTTGAGAACTCAACTGACATGTGAATTTGGGGGGACATAACTCAATACCTAGCCATCCTGGATAATTCCAATGGGCCACAAGTATAATTATATGGGTCTTATAGGAAGGGTGCAGGAAGGTCAGAAGTAGGAACCAGGTGATGGAAGTAAGGAGCTGGAGTGTTGTGAGGGAAGGAGTCACCAGCCAAGGAATGCAGATGACTTCCAGAAGCTGAAAAGACAAAGAAATGGATTGTCCCTGAGAGCCTTCAGAAGGAAATGTAATTTGTCAGCACCTTGACTTTGATCCAGTAAAGCTGACTTCAGACTTCTAGCCTCCAGAACTGTAACAGAAAATATTTATGTTGTTTTAAGGCATTATATTTATGGCAGTTTATCCCAGTGCAACAACGTGAAACTAGTATGCTTAATGAATTTTTGCTTTGAAAATAATTTTCTTAAAAATAGTTTAGAATTTAATTGTTTGGATAAATGAACATTAATGCAGCCACCTCAGGAGAACTTACTTTTTAGGCAATATATCTAGTAAATTGTGTTCTCAAATAAAATGCTTACATTCTTGATATGATTTATTCCTGTCTGTTGTTCCCAAGACTGCAAATCAGTTACTCTATTCTCATATAAATGTGTTGTTTTATAGTTATTCAAAGACTTCCTTTTTAGAAGCCCCATGTGTCTTGAATTTAATATCAGTCTTTGATATTGTGCCTTTATTTCATAAAATCATTGTCCTTTGATTAGCATTTTTTATCTATCCAGAATCATGTTGTATTATTTCTGTTTCTGTTATTTAAAGTATACCTGAAAGAATTTAGAATTTAGAAGTAGATATGGAAAGACTTATGAGTTCAAGAACCTGAGAGATATATTTGTACATAGTTTACATAGTTTATCTGTTTTTTTGAGTTTTGCTAGTCATTGAGTGTATTTAAATACAGCTGTGTATTATCATCTCATATTATCCTTTATTATCTGTAGAATTTGTAGCCACCTCCATAGGGCTGCAGAGTCGAACATAACTGAAGTGTCTTAGCACGCATGAGCACACACACACACACAGTCTCTGCTTTTACTCCTAAAATTGTGATTTTGTCTTCTCTCTTTTTTTCTTGGTTAGTCTGACCAGAGATTTTTCAGTTTTATTGATTGCTTCCAAGAACTAGTTTTGGATTTCATTGAATTTCTCTTTTTTCCCCTCCTGTTTACTATTTCATTGATTTCTGCTTGTATACTCATTATTCCTGTCTTTCTCTCGCTAGGCTTATTTGCTTTTCTTTCCCTCTTATTTTTACTCACTTTTTTAAAGAAGGAAGCTGAATTCATCGATTTGAAGCCTTTTTAAATTGTCTGATGCGAACCCCTCCTCTCTAGACTCCCCTCGGGTGCGCGGGAGAGCGCTCCGCGGCGGCTCCGTGGCAGCTCCGGTGCTTGGTCTGAGCGTGGTCTGGCATCCCGAGCTGTCAGATCTCCCACCCTCGCCCAGGCTCAGCAGCCTTCTGCGTTACTTCTCTCAGCAGCATTATTCCCGGGGCTCTGGCGGCAGGGATTTCTGTTTCCGTGTTCAAGGCTCTTGGGTGTGGGCAGATGGATACT